AAGAACAAGTAAAAGAAACAAAAACAACTAAACCATATGCAATTAATGAGAGCCGCCATAACACAGAGAGAGCGCATTACAGTAAGGGGGAGTTAAAACACGCGCCATAATATAAACATCAGACACCGCTGCTGCAGCAGCCGTAACAACGGCGACAGCAGCAGCATCCCAACCAAACACAACAGCAGCAGCATCCCATCATAATTAATATAAATAATAATCAATATTAATAGACAGACAAGTGTATTCATGTTTTTTTGTTGTTTTCTGGTGTACAAAACATTAGCGGGTCATAAATCTCTATTTAATTTTTTTCTTTGGTGTGTGTCCATTACTCTCTGCTCTCATTTGTGTAACAACATCCCCCAAACGAAGCATCGAAAAATAATAACACATTCATGTTGTTGAGGGGTTTGTCGGCCATGCAAAAATAAAAAAACCGTAACATCAGGAAGATTTATCTCCCTCTCATTTTATCATGCACATGAAAAATACCGCCGGTGTTGCCAATTTTTTCAGGGTCAATAATCGCCGAAGTTTAGTTGAATTTTTTGGTGAATTAAATTTTTTTTATTTTCATTGGAATTTCATTTAAATAACCGGAATTTTCGTATGCATATAAATTTGAAAAAATACGCACAAAACTTAATTGAATTTGTTTTAAAATGGAAATTTTGATATTTAATGGCAATTGTGAATACAAATACAGTGTTAAAAAAAAAACAAGCAAACATATTTATAAAGTTAAAAAAATCTCAAGAGTTAAAAATGATTAGTTGTTTGGGAAATGTTGCGATGTTTTTTTTAATTTGATGACATTTAGTGGAGAACGATTTTGTTTTAGATGTTATTAAAGATGTTAAAAAGGCTCAAGTAAAGTTAGACTTGATAAATGAGAATTTCTTGGCAATTATATATTCCGGATATTTCGATATTCAACCCTATGAAAATTATTAAAAAGCAATGAGCGGAGAAGTATAGTCGAGGTCGACAGATCCTTTACGTCATCTTTTACGATTTTTTTTTTTCGAAGTTACTCCACAAAATTCAAATTTTGTTAATTTACACAAAAAATGTTTCGGCTCATTTGGCTTGCTAAATGTTGACCGTTCATAATAATGACAACCATTTAAATTGATTGGTCAGATCGTCAGAAAAATTTGTGATGTTTGGATTTGTAGTTGTGGGTTCTAGAGCATCAGACATTCCGTAAATAAATATTATCTGATCATCATCGACAATTCGTTTTGATTTGGCCTCTAGTGCGTCCAGAAAATAGACAAAAATAAAGTTTTTGGTCCATTTAAATACAAAATGTTGTGGTGGTTGGTCCATGTATAATGGACAGACCGACACACATGTCTAGATCGACTCAGCTAGCCGAGATGACTAAAAGGACCAATATTTCGCAGCATTACAGACTTTTGGGGACACTTTACTTACTTACTTAGCTGGCTTGAAAAAAATTTCCAAGCGCGTCGGTCTTGTGCGCATCTCCTCCAATTTGAAAGACCACGTTTCAAGATGTCTTCTACTTGGTCTTTCCATCTGATACGTGGCCTTTCCCTTCTGAGTGAACTATCAGTAGGCTTGCTGGGGCATTCTCATTCATTCGCACAACATGGCCTAGCCATGGTAGTCCTCGTATAAATTGTCGATATTCACCGTCGACGCAGATCGGCCCGTAGATCTTTCGGAGAATTTTTCTCTCAAACAACCCAAGAGCTGCGCAAGTATCCATGCTTCAGATCCATATAACAGCACGGGTAGTATCAGCATCTTGTAGAGTGTGTGTTTAGTCTGGCGGGAGGTGGCGGGAGGTAAACTGCTTCTTAGACCACAGTAGCATCTGCTGGCCAATACTATCCTTCTTCGAATTTCAAAATTGATATCATTAGTTTTATTTAGGGTGGTACCAAGGTATATAAAATCATTAACTACCACGAAGCTCAAGTTCCACAGTTGGTTCGAGTCTACTGGACGTCTTGTTCGTTGATACCATCAGCTTGGTCTTCACGCCATTTACTGCCAGAACCATTTTGGCAATTTGGTGGATGTTACCGCTCGCAATGTTCGACCCATTATATCGATGTCATCGGCGTATGCGTGTTATATGTGTTGTTTGGTGTACAGAGGGCCATTTTTGTTCACATTTGCCTCTCCTATTCCAGCAGGGTGTTAAACAGGTCACATGACAAACTGTCACCTTGTCTAAATCCTCTTTCGGTATTGAAGGGTTCCGATAGGTCCTTTCCTACTTTAACTGCATTGTGCCACTTAAAGTTATCCTGCATAGGCGTATTAATTTTGCAGGAATGCCGAACGTAGACATGGCTCTAAACACCTCTGAACGTTTCTCCTCTCTCCTCTTCTCCCGATAATTCTCCATTGCATTACGTGTTGCTACTGTCTGCAGGATTGCCCTATACGTTGGGTTTTTTTACATCAGTAGCATTACGACACTCCTGATCGTATCATGGGTTCCTTGGTGGTGGTTTTTGGTACCCAGGTGTTGCTTTTGCTGCAGTTTGGGCAATTCTTTGCCATTGTGCTTCTATACTATTATCGAGACAAGAAGTGCTTTCGTCAAGCAGGTGGGAAAGTTGAGCGGAGTAGGCCTTTGCTACCTGTTGTGTTTGCAGCTTTTCGACGTCGAAGTTCCGTGTTACATTATATCGCACCTTTGCTGCTACATTAAGACGAGTGCGAACCTTGGCTGCTACAAGATAATGGTTTGAATCGATTTTCGCTCCTCAGATTGATCGAACATCTAAAACACTGGATGAATGCTTTCCGTCTATCTCAAAATGATCGAATTGATTTATCGTTGTTTGACCGGGAGAAATCCAGGTTGCCTTGTGTATATTGAGATGCTTGAATCTGGTGCTGCTCACTACCATATTTTTTACTGCCGCGATGTCAGTCAACCTCAAGCCGTTGTCTCATGTTTCTTCATAGAGGCTGAATTTACCTTTGGAAGGGCCAAACAAATTTCCCTTCCAATTTTTCCCTTCTGAGATTTTAATCTCTTAGCAGAATTTTAATGCCATAGCCAGGGCAGCGGTCGTATGCTGTTTCTAGGGGCTCGTAAAATATGTCTTTGGTTTGCTCATCTTTGGCTTCCGTCGGAGCATTGCCACAAATAAGACTGATATAGAAGAACTTCGCTTTTATGCGGATTATAGCACATCGCTCATCTACTGGAGTGAATCTGGAGACAAGGTCTTTTATTCTCCTGTTAACCATAAACCGCAGCCAAATTCATGTCTCGTTTCATGGCAGCTGTAATACAGTGCGTAATCGTCTGATTTACTTACGCCAGTTCCTTTCCATCGCATTTCCTGTAAGGCAATAATATCGGCTTTGTACTTCTTCAGTACATCGCCAGTACATCATCGAAATACAAATGTATCTGTTTATTTAAAATATTCCACTTCGTCTTTCTTGGCAATTAAACTTCCTTTAAAAAGACTCCCTTTATATCCATATCGGCGATTTTTTTCATGTTTCTAAAGTTAGCATCACTATGCAAGGCAACCGTTATTCACATACCGTCTTTATTTTTGTCATATCGTGCTCTCTATACTTTTTTGATGTTGATGAGAGAAGCATCAACAACTAATCATGAATGACCCATCAATTAGAAAAGAAGAAGCAAACGGGAGACATAAGATGCTTCTCAACGTCATCAACTAATAACAGCAACAACAAAAACAAATTAATATGTTAATTAAGCAAAATTTTAATTTATTTTGTCATTCAAATTAAACTCCCTTTATAAAAGCCTCTCTTCATCATAGAGAGAGAGCTGTGATTATTCCCCCAAATAACAACAACTTGGCATCACTCCAACACACAGCAGCCGTCAAGCGTATGCATGCAGGCAACCGTTATTGGCCCTTTATTTATCGGCTCGTGCTCTCTTTCTCTTCATAGTTTTTTATGTTGGTGGTGAGAGAAACAGTAATCATAACAACAACAAATCATAATACCCTAGCAATTGAAAAAGAAGAAGAAGAATACAGACATATGATGCTTATCAACGTCATCATCAACAAATAATAATAACAACAACAAACTAATTAAACAATAAAAAATGGTCTTTTATTTTTAGATTCATTCAAGAACCAGAGAGAGAGGGAGAGGAGTGTAAGAGTTAATCTGTCATTGAACAAATCAATCAATAATCATCAAACACAACAAATAAACTACAATGAAAACGTAAGCGTCCGCGTATGACGCCTAATTATTTGAAAGTTATGACTGAATTGCCGTATTTCATAGAAAAAATGTTGCAAAAATCAATAATAACAACTGATGAAATAATGGATAAAGCCGATCTTTATATTATGATGGGTGTAATGGGCAATGATATTTGATAAAAGCTGAAAAACGGAGTGTGACAAAGAGATAAGAAAAAAAAAATAAAAGTAATTCTTAAAGGAAAAAAATATTTTTTAAAGAAAAGTGAATAAAAAAATATTTTGAGGAAATAAAATAAATTTTCAAATAAAAGAAAAAAATATTTTTAAACGAAAATAAAAATATTTGAAACAAAGTGCTCTGCCAAAAATATCTAGAAAAATAATTTTCAAATAAATATTGAAAAATAATTTTGTGAAATAAAAATAAATGCAAAATAGCCAAAAATAAATTGTGGTATTTGGTGCTAAAAAATTTGAAATGAAAAATAATCATAAATTGTGAAATGCCGACGGGTAGTCAAACCAAACAAATAAAAGTGCCAAATTAAAAAAAAAAAAAAACAACAACAATAATAAAAATATTTTGTGAAAATAAAAATCGAGCAGAAAAATATGACAAATTTTGTGGAAATTTGCTAAACCAAACAAATTAATAAAAAAACAGAAATTCAAACAAAACTTTGGGGAAAATCGGAAGTTTTTGCAGGAACAATCTAAAATTCTTCCAAATTTGAAGAAAAAAAAAACGAACAAAATAAAATTTCTCGCCGAACAAAAAACCGAAAAAAAATTTGATTTTCCCCAACAAAAGTGTTGTTGCCCTCACAACATGACCGAATACGTTACACCCAACATACACACAGTGTTGAAAAAATATCAGACAAGTGCTCCCAAAAGTCTACAAGGTCCTGGTCATTCATTAGCCAATATTGCCGCAACAGCCAATAACAGTAGCAGTGCCCTACCCCTGACATCCACATCGTCGACGGCGGCCGCACCACCAACCCATCCCATAACTGCCAATAACAACAATAATTTGTGTTCTCCAGTAGTCGGAGTCGTTGGAGGAGCAGGTAACCCCATAGTAGCCGCCGGTCATTGCCCCCTAGATGTTAGTCTAAATAATAATGGCGGTGTGGCCAATTTATCAACAGCTTCCGCAGCAGCTGCAGCAGATATTCATGGATTGGTGGCAATGCGTACCAGTCCTTGTGAGCTTAGTAAAGCATCAAGCAAACAGCAACAACAAAATTCGAATCACACTGGAACAACAACGACAGCGACAGCAGCAAATCCTGCCCTGCCACTTATAAAAAAAGAAATAATGACATCACCTGAACCACCACCAGCATCACATGATCTCCAAAATGAAAATCCCCTGGTTGGCCAGAGGCCGGGATCAGGAGCGACAGCAACTGCAGTCGGCCCACCACCACCACCCTCATCAGTGCAGCAGACACCTTCCATAAAAATTATGCCACCACCACCGCCGGAGGTATCCCAGCCCATACTCTCCTCAGCCGATACGGGCTCCGGAGAGTTGTACGAAACCCGTTTAGAGGGTAAAACCATTGGCTGCTTTTCCATGGGTGGGGAAATGCGTCTCTGTTTGCCACAATTCCTCAACAATGTCTTGGCCGAATTTACCCTCGAACAAATCAATCGCAGTTTCGATGATCTCGGCATCTTCTGTTCCCAATGTACTCCCGAACAGTTAATGGAATTTAAGGCTGCCAAAATCTTACCATCCGATGTAAAATCTAGTGGCCTCATAACCCGCACCGATGCTGAACGTCTTTGTGCCGTTCTCCTCCATCGTTCCGATCGTAATAGTTATATCAATGTTGAGGATATACCCAAGGGTGCTATTTCATTTAAGGTCTATCATCGTTGTTTTGGTAAATGTGAAGGTATCTGTACTCCGGATATGTATTCATATCAGAAGCCGACCTGCATTATGTGTCTCGAGTGTAAGGGTTGGTTTTCCCCACAGAAATTTGTTGGCCATGTCCATCGTAAAGTGGAGAATCGCACTTGCCATTGGGGTTTTGATTCGCGTAATTGGCATGACTATTTGCATGTGGCATTGGATGTCGAGAATCGCGAGAAATATCAAAAAATCTTGGATGAACTAAAGGAGGTGGAGATCAAGGAACAGCAGAAAGCCCAGCAGGAGATTAATTATTTAAAAAGAAAGGTAAGTTGGAACGTTTATTTAGCTTTACTATTTTTAACTTGGGAAATTTAGAATGTTATATGTCAAATAATAGGAATATCCGATTTTTATTAAAACGAATAATCGTTAAAAATAACTAAACAAGTATTTTGGTTTCCTTGAGCGTATGACTATTGTCACTACGTATACGCCCCTAGGGATTTGATTTATATTTCATGAAGAACTCTATAATTAAAGAAGTGCTTTAGAGAAAATAGGCATTTTCTTTTCGGAGATCTACTTTTTAAATACAAAAAAAGTCACTGAAAATTAGTATAACATTTTGAAACACTTGGGCGTATGACCATTGTTGCTACGTATACGCCCTAAGGATTTGATTTATAATTGAATGAATTCATAATATCTAAGGGATAATATCATCAAGGGCTCCATAACTAAAGATGTGTTTGAGGAGTTTAGATTTTCACGCAAATAAATAATCTGTAAAAATTACTAGAAAAGTGTTCCGGTACACTAGAGCGTATTACTATTGCCGTTACTTATGCACCCTATGGATTTGATTTTCAAAGGCTACACAAGGTGTGGATTTAAAAAAAAATGTTAAAGGCCTTACAAGGCTTGGAATTTTTAAGAATATTTTTTCAAAGGCTATACAAGGCGTAGATTTTTTAAAGAATATTTTTTCAAAGGCTATACAAGGCGTAGATTTTTTAAAGAATATTTTTTCAAAGGCTATACAAGGCGTAGATTTTTTAAAGAATATTTTTTCAAAGGCTATACAAGGCGTAGATTTTTTAAAGAATATTTTTTCAAAGGCTATACAAGGCGTAGATTTTTTAAAGAATATTTTTTCAAAGGCTATACAAGGCGTAGATTTTTTAAAGAATATTTTTTCAAAGGCTATACAAGGCGTAGATTTTTTAAAGAATATTTTTTCAAAGGCTATACAAGGCGTAGATTTTTTAAAGAATATTTTTTCAAAGGCTATACAAGGCGTAGATTTTTTAAAGAATATTTTTTCAAAGGCTATACAAGGCGTAGATTTTTTAAAGAATATTTTTTCAAAGGCTATACAAGGCGTAGATTTTTTAAAGAATATTTTTTCAAAGGCTATACAAGGCGTAGATTTTTTAAAGAATATTTTTTCAAAGGCTATACAAGGCGTAGATTTTTTAAAGAATATTTTTTCAAAGGCTATACAAGGCGTAGATTTTTTAAAGAATATTTTTTCAAAGGCTATACAAGGCGTAGATTTTTTAAAGAATATTTTTTCAAAGGCTATACAAGGCGTAGATTTTTTAAAGAATATTTTTTCAAAGGCTATACAAGGCGTAGATTTTTTAAAGAATATTTTTTCAAAGGCTATACAAGGCGTAGATTTTTTAAAGAATATTTTTTCAAAGGCTATACAAGGCGTAGATTTTTTAAAGAATATTTTTTCAAAGGCTATACAAGTAGTAATTTTCTAAAAACCCAAAAAAGGCATGGGTGTTAAAAGATTATTTTTTCAAAGACCAAAAGCGGTATTACTCTTTTTTGTTCACTGGTGCGTATGACTATGGTCGTCACGTATACGCCATGGAGATTTCATTCATATTGTTTATGTGAAATAATATTTGTCATTAGAAACAAATTGCAATACTTTTACAAAATATTTTTAAGACTTAACAAGGCATAGACTATTAAGGAATATTTTTCAGGCGTCAATAGAAGCCTGGATGCTTAATAGAATATTTTTGAGGCCTCAATAGAGGCATAGATTTTTCAAAGAATATTTTTAGGCAACAACAGAATATTTAAAAAAAAAATCAAAAGCCATATCGACGCCTTCGAACCATAGTATGCTAAGTCTGAGTTTTTCAGTAGAAGCTCTCAAAGTATGGAAATTTCTTAAATTTTACGCTAAGTACATTTTTGCTTATAACTTTGGTTTGGATTGGCCGATTATTACCAAAATTTCAGAGAATTTAAATTAAGGACCGTAGTATCTAAAAACATAAAGAATTTTAAAACATGCTAAGTCTACTTAGCATACCATGGTTCGGAGGCGTCGATATATGGAAAAATATGTTAAAAAACCAAAATAGACGTAGATTTTTAAAGGAAATGTTTCTGGCATAAATGGAGGCTCAAAGTTGTTCATAAAAATGATATATAAATATATTTAATTTAAAAAGTAGCAATTCAAAGGTGTATATTCATATTTTGTCTGTAGACAAAATATGAGTTCTGGGGCGAAACACATTTTTCTATAGAAAAGATTTATAGTCTGGGTTTATTGTACTCACAGTCACACTTCCTCTTGTATTCCTCTTTAGAAATTTTGAGATCCAGACCTTTTGGTGAGTTACCAATCCTAGTATTCAGGGTAGAATAGATTAATATTTTGGATTCATTCGTTTTATTTCTACAAGAAAGTATGAATAAATAGTGTCTGGGAACTTTTTTTTATCAGTAATAAAGTTTCAATATAATTTGTTGGATAAAAATTATTTTGTCCACTGGTGCGTATAAATATTGTCGTCACGTATACGCTACCTAAAAAATCAATTTATAATTAAAATTTCTGAAATATATTTTTTTTTAATTATTTTCTTACAGTTCTGAGGATTTTGGCTAACAGTTCTTGGGATTCGCATTTTTTATAAAAATATGAGCAATTTTTTGGGTACTGCTAATTTGTTTCTATACAAAAAATATTAATTGACTTGGTACCCTTAAATGTGTTTTAATTAATTAGTAGCATTTGTACATTGATGCATCTAATTAGTCTGGGTTTATTGTTCTTACAGTCCTGTGCCACTTCCTTTAGTATTTCTCCATTAGTAATTCTGAGATTTTTTCCTATAGAACATATTACCAATCCTGGGATTCAGGGTAGAATAGATTCAAGTTTTTTTTTAATATCATTCTTTGTCCACTGGTGCGTATAACTATTGTCGCCACGTATACGTTCCCAAACAAACCAATTTATAATTGCCATCTCAGAAATGAATATTTTTAAATTATTTTCTAACAGCTCCATGTTTTTTTCTACTAGTACTAGACCCCAGTACTGAAATGGGCTGTTCTGAAATACAATTTGATGAGGTAGCTTATGAAAACATTTTTACAAAATTTAATTTTTTGAGGTGCACATCAAAAAATTAAAAACAAATATAAGTTTATGTGGGTTTCTGAATTTTTTTTAATAGAAACTACTGTGGATTTCTTTTAAAAAATAATTTGCATTTCTTCGCCCACACAGTCGTGAACAAAAAATATTATTTTAAAAATCCCTGCATTTATTCATGTCTGATCTATATTCTTTAACAAATATTTGCCTTCGGTGACTGCATAAAAAATATTCACAAAAAATCCGTGCAATCAGTAGCAGCCCTTAAAACATTTTTTAAAAAATCCATGCTTTTATAAAGTCTCCTCAAAATATATTTTTTTTCAATACCTAACAAAATAATCCCTTTTAAATATATAATTGAGCATTCATTTCAATCCGTAAAATATTTTTTTGCACACTGGTGCGTATGACTATTGTCGTCATGAATACGCTCCCCTGGATATTCAATTTATAATCGAAATTTCTGAATAAGGATTTTCTTAAATGTAATTTGTTGAGGTAGCTTATAAAAGTATTTTTAAAAAATCTAATGTTGTGAGGTTCATATAAAAGAAAACAGATTCTAGTGTGTGTAGGTTTCTGAAAAAATGTTTTTTAATAGAAACTATTGTGTATACCCAATAAAATGTATTTATTTAATTCATGGCTCATACAGTTGTGAAAAAAATCTCCTTTAAAAATCCCTGCAAAAAGGCAAAAAATATATATATTTATTAGGACTCCATAAAAATAATAAAACCCAAGTTTCTTTAAAGGCAATTAAAAACATTTTCATAATTATGGTTCGAATATCTTTTAGAAATCCTCAACCTACTTACCTCTACAAATAGGTTGTAAAAATCCAGGCTACTGTTTCCCTTTGAAAGGCATATTTTTTTAAGCCGCAGTTCTTTTCGGCCCTTCCAGAAGAATATTTTTTAAAAAAATCGAGGCCTTGAAAAAATGTTTTTACATTTTTATTTCACAATTTCCATAAATAATTGAAGAATTTCACAACAACAATAAAAAACAAACACTAAACGAAAGTGTTAAATATGTCATGTACAACAAATACAAATGCCTAATTGTATTACAAATGAATGAGAAATAAAAAAATAAAAAAACTGAACTCTGGCTGTCTACAAAGTGCGTCGCAGCGTCTGTCTAGTCGACGTAAAGATGTCAAGTCTTAGTTGACAGTTGTTTTTTTTTCTATTTCAATTTTTTTTTTTACATTTGTCTACAATTCAGTTAAGCCCGTATTTTGCACTTATTTCATATGATAGGCTTTTGTTGTTGCCTTAGCAACAACAACAACAGCGGACTGGCTGGCTGTCTGTCTTTCAGTATCTGACACTATAACTACTACTGTACAAATAAAAAAAAACAGATATTCGAGACAGTAGCCATAGAGCAAAAAAAAAACTTCGTTGACATTGCGGTTGAAAAATTCCCTCGTATTGGAGGCCTGACATCTTTCCTCAGTTCCGCCTCCCTCCCTCTCTCCCTTCCTACTGAGAGAATTGTTAATGGGTGTCGATGATGATTATGAATGTTGTTTGTATGATGAGCGTGAAGATAAATTGTTGAAAGTTAAATTGTAATGTTATTAACAGAGCTCTGTTAAGCCATTAACAGAGCTCTTTTAAAAGGTTAACAGAATTGAAAAATAATCAAATTTAATAGATTTTACGATTATTTTTATTTAAAATTAATAAAAATAAGTAGGATTAGGACAAAATTACCAAATGTGCTACCCCAATTCAAATAAAACATAAAAATTACTGCACATGCAGCAACACTGTAGGTATTTGCAATTAGGCCCACTGTCCGAAAATTTCAAAACCTGGGACTAAGCGAATACCCACGATGGAAAGGTCAGTCCATGGGCTTTCAGAATATATATAGTTTATATTCGAAATCAATTTCGGATATAATAAATTTTTCGACTTTTTTTAAAATTGTACAATTTAAC